GTCGCGCAAGCTTGGCATCCTGAACAAGGTGCACCGATTTTTTACTCCAGAGCTGCGATACCTGTTGTATAAAGCTCAGGTCCGAAGCAGCATGGAGTACTGTTCGCACCTTTGGGACGGCTCAGCCAAGTACTTGCTCGATGCCCTAGATGGACTGCAGCGCTACGCCTTCCGTGTTGTCAACGATCCTCATGTAACTGAGCATGCGGAGTCGTTACAGCTTCGCAGAGATATAGCGTCTCTTAGCGTATTCTATCGTCTGTACCACGGTGAGTGCTCTGAAGAGTTATTCAACCTTGTCCCTTCCTCTCCTTTCCATCAGCGGACCACCCGTGCCGGACTGCGTTGCCACAGTTGGACGGTCAGTTCAATACCGTCCCGCACTAAAAAGTTTGGCAATTCGTTTTTATGCCGAACCATCAAATTGTGGAACCAACTCCCGGCGCATGTATTCCCTCCCCTCTATAACATCGTGTCCTTCAAACGTAGTGTGAAGAAGCATTTGGCCAGACCGGCAAAATGATAGTGACGGAGTGAAGATATTTGTGTTTTCCATCCGTTACTCTCATCTCTGGACTGTATTCGCACTTTCCATCAGGCGCGGTGCAGTCATTTTGCCGAGTCACAATAAAAAAAAAAATAAAAAAAAAAATACAAAACTACCAGTGGCGGCACCTATAGGAATGTCTCCTACAAACCCATGTTACAATTGTAATAAATGTAAATGAAATTGCGAATGGAGGCCACGTTGCTCATTTTAGATTTGTTACAGTCAGGTATCTAGTGAAATTAGCTTTTTCAAAAATAACTTTAGCGAAATTAAATAACAGCAGCCATCTGGTATTGGTGGGACTGCGGGGCACTTAAGCAGGCCCCCGAATGATAACAATATCGGTTGAGTGCTTTCAGGTGGGTGAATTAGAGGAAATTTAATTACTTACCAGAGGGCAGATTCCGCTAGATTAAAATCGTAAAGTATTTCTGAGTTTGCCTTAAGTCTAAAATCGCGAATAACAGCAGCGACGGGATTTACTTAAATACTTCAATAGATAAACTAGAACGAAATATATAAAGCACGCACATAGTTATAATACAACAATATTTTTTTTTGTATAAATCCGCGTTGCGTAGTACATAATTATACATATATAAAAAAATCTAAGAATCCCTCCTGTGGGGATTTTTGAAATATGCTAATTTTACACTTTATTATGTAATTACAAGGCGAGTTACAAGGTTTCCAGATATCGTAAAAGAAAAATAAGCGGATTTTCCTTAACAGCTTGCGGTGGACTTAGCAAATGATTTATGAAGTTATATATAAGTAGTGAAAGTAGTAGGTGGATATCAAAAATGTTTTCGTTGTTTTAAGTTGAGTTTTAAGAAGTTACTGATATTATATTTAGTACCTGTTACTTATAAACGATACTAGACGTATATAAATGTAATGCAGCCATAAGGTTAAAGGACATTAGTCCTTTAACCTTATGGCTGAATGTTCTGGATTGTTTTGAGTATTTCCGAGAGATAAGTTTAAATATTTTTTTTACACTAGCGTCATTGTCAATTTATTTAATTACATATTCATTTTATAGAGATTGTCGCGCCCAGCCTCCGTGGATGACCAGGGTCCTGCCTCCAATGGATGACCAGACTGGCAGGCCACAAAGACAGACTGAACTGACAGGAATTCGAAATAAGACCGACTTTCTTTTGGACAAAAGACGACGACCAACCTTCCTTTCTTTGACAAAGGACAAAGGAGGGAGTCCTGACTGAACCTGGGACGCGAGCAGCCGACTTCTCCTGACTGAATTGTATAGACAGACCGTAAAGGTATTATTACATGCCTCCTTAATAAGATTTCGGTTAATATTCAAAATTTTTCATTTACGGGTTATAAAACTATAATTATTTATATTTACAGGTTCTGCATGACAAAACATTGGTAGTGGTCCGTTTTGCTCTTTGTAGTTGCTTCTATCTACAATATTTGAAATAAATTTGTTGACTTTCTTACTCATTCTTCCTCATGGGAATCTATTTTACACGTTGGAATGATTATGTAATATTTAATCAATATGACGATTTCAAGTCTAATTGGCTTAACTATGAAGTAAACATGTTTCTTTAATCTGTCAATTATATTTTCAGAAACCATTTATCATGGGCGCTCTTTTTAGTTCTGAATCAAAATCCGCTGTACTCGCCACTGAACTGAAAAATTTTAATAAAGTTTTGTACACATAACTGTAATGACTATTATAGTACTGGACACAGAACTATAATGAGTTTCAAGCATCGAGTATATGTTTTAAGAAAAGAACGTCGTGTTTTTGTTAATTAAAATATCAACTAAGACGCTCTGACAAAACATCGATTCTGAAGTAGTATTTATTGTGCGATGGACTTTTTTTGTTTGTACCTTGACAGAGAGGGCTGCTTATCGATGACGCCTCCAGTCCTCTAAGCTATAAGGTTAAAATATATGCGGTACTTGGCCACTTCTATTCTATCTCTTTGGTTTTTTGTTTTGTAGCGTTTGTGTGGCTTTCGTCTAAATATATGAAGAGGCTGTATGGTGGAATCTTTGCCTACCCTAATAAATAGGCTAAAATTTATTAAAAACAAATTACGTTTGTTGTCATGGAGTGCGAGTGTTAGCAAATTAAACATTAAATATTGGTTCTGTTTAATTATTTTATTCACTCGTAGAAAAAATATTGTATGCAATAATTACACAATTCTTTTTATGAAACTCGATAAATATTAATATGTTTGTAACGTTTAAATAGTATCGTATTTAATATAATACAATTTAGGCGCTATTTATGAAAATGAATCTACATGCGTGAACAGCCACCCTTAGAGGTGGATGATTTTCTTCAAAATTAAATGGGATCACTATAGAGGTATTCTCAAGAATCATCATAATCGGTTCACAAATACCGGAGTTATCGCGTAACATACATACAAAAAAAACATACAGTTGAATTGTGAAACTCCTCCTTTTTTTGAAGTCGGTCAAAAATAAAATAAAGTACTACAGATTATGAGTCATAAACTGAAAAGTTTTTTAGAACTGTGGTGCAAATAGAATCTCCAGATTAATGTAATATTTCTTAGCTTTTACAATCTGGCCTTGTTTGACAATTTTAACGGCTTTTCTTCGCTCCAAATATTAATTCCACAGGAAACCTCGCCACACCATTATGACAAATTATATTTAAGTATTCGTACATTATACCTCGTTACTTGGCTGTAAATTACGCAAACGGCGATCCAAAGCTGTAAAAAAGAAAAATCACTTTCGCTCCAATAAACAATGAAAAAACTGTGTCAGAGCAGAACTCTTCTACGGAAATTTTATAGGTAGGTATTGATTTTTGTATACGTGCGCTTCTTTGTTGTCTTCAGATGATTAAAAGAATTAGGTTGGTTACGAAAATCTACGATTTTGATGTCGGGGTGGTGTCGGTTTGGATTTTTATATTTAGGTATAAGCTATTCGTTTTTAACTAGGTTTCGTTTTTTAGCCGAATGGGAGTACGATTATATATGCACAGAAAATAATCGTTAACTCAAAAAAACAATATATAAATAAAAATTTGAACATGCTCTATATTTTTAATATTATTTGCCACAATTTCTTGCAGATTTGATCAGTTTGGGATCTAAAGAGATTTATATAAAGATAAAATTGTACCTTCTTAAATGAGCTGATGTTTTATATAACGGGTTCGGTTACCTCGCCGATAATCCAATCACGTAGGATAGCAGAAAACACGCGAAGTTCAGAGGTCAGGGTAACTTATTATTAGTTCCTCAAGAATGCTATTGTGTATAAGCTAACTTTAATATTTTACCCAACACACGCTGTGTTTACATGTGCCATGCCTTGAAATAAATCAATAAGTAAGTACCTATTAAAAATATAACACCTCCAGGTTTTGGATTTCATAATTCTTACACAAGATATGATGTAGGTATGTAGGTACATACTTCACTAACTAAGGGCTTTTTTATCCTTGGTATGTCGGAAGCGCGTCACACACACTTGCATCCATCGTATGGCACAATAAAATGGCACGAGTAGTAAGCACATTGAGCACGCGGAAGAATTTTTTGAAATTCAACAACTAATTTTATTGTTCGGTAGATATGAAACGAAATTATTTGAAAGTCCGATAATCAATGCACTTAATAAGCTATGTTTCGTGTATATGTCATTACTAAAACATGTTTTATTTACATTTTACAGGTAATTGAACCAAGCATTTAACCAAATTATGTACCTATTGTAGAAAAGATATTTTTTTAGAATACGTTTTGTTTTATTTTCGATTTAATATTTTTCTCTACTTAGTCTAATATGTAATAAATCTATTGAGTTAGCAAAACGTTAGGTTCTAATGAAAATTTAATTCGAATTACTGTTTTGCAAATCATCAGTCACATCGGAAAGTTGGCCATTTTGTACTTATTTTAACCAAACTTTTTTTGACTCTGAACAAGTTAATACAAAAACAACGTTTAGTTCAAATAGTGATATACACATGTTTATGGTCGGCTTGTTTATTGGTATTTTAGAAAAAAATATAATATTTTAGAAAAAAAAAAATGCATTTTGGGCTTTATAATATTTTTATTAATGCATTTAATCTCGAAATTCAGTAAAGTGTAGATTTTGTAATTTTGGCACTGATCAGTGCTTCATCCATACGAAGGGATTGCTATTTGTATAGGCTAACTTTAATATTTTACCCAACAAACGCTGTGTTTACATGTGACTAGCTTAGACATAAGGCAATAAGTATGAAAGGCATTACGTCCCTTTTTGCGTGGCCAACTACAGGGCAAAGTACCTTGGAGTGCCAAGGTCGCTCCCCGAAGTCTTCAGCAAACCGAGGAGGCTGCTGAGATTCCTGGAGGAGCTTAGGTGACACGAGTAGGACCCTGCACCCACCACACGCAAAATAGGCGCCTTGTGCGGACACAAGCCCGTTACACCAAGTACCAAGTACCAAGTACGTCCCTTTTTTGGATTTCGTAATTCTTACAAAAGCATTCATATTATTTGATTTAGTAGTATTGCTCTCCAATGTGATTGATTTAGTAAAGATTTAGTAGGTACTTCACTAAGGTTTTTTTATGGATTTCGAACAATGTTATCAAATAAGACATCAACAACTTCTTAAATAGCTAAGATTTGTAAAGGAAAATGTTCCTAGTTTAATGTCCAATGAGATATAAAAGTAAAATTCATCTTCATTTCATCTTACGGCTTAGCGTAAACAATTGCCTTTAATTTTTTAAGATTCGCAGTAAATTTGTAGACAATTTGGGGAGATCGATAAAGACAGCGTTTCATTAAATGGTAGCTTGTGTAACGGTGTTCTTCTCTGTTAGTATGTTTCATCTCAACATTAAGTAAATGAGTACATAGTAAACACTATCTAAAATCAATTAATTTCAAGCAAATCAAAAGTTACCGTATTTCTCAAGACGATAATTAATATGTCCTAGCAGAACAAAATTATTATGTAATTTTTAAGTGAGATACATTTCGCACACCACCTGAAAGAAAGGCATAACTCTTTTTACTACTGTTCAAGGCGACGAAAAACAGGTGTTGATCGAATACAACGTCTTTATTAATACAAATAATACAAACACAAAATGCTTTATTTCTCTCAGAAAGGTCTATAAGTAGTTACATTTCATATATAATAACAAGTTCCTTAGTGAGAGCTGGAGTCTGTACTAGGTTGGGGACCTGTGTTACAGATCTCCAGGCTCACTCCCTCTAGGTGTATAAAGAACGGAACATTATTTAAAAAATATATGATTACATTACAAAATAAAGCGTAGCATATAACAAGAACACAATGTGTGTTCGTGCGTAAGTGCTTGCGCGAGTGTGTGTGAGTATGTGTGCGTATGTGTGTGTGTGTGTGTGTGTGTGTGTGTGTGTGTGTGTGTTTGTGTGTGTGTGTGTAGTGTATGTGCGTGTGCATGTGCGTGTGCGTGTGCGTGTTCGTGTGCGTGTGCGTGTGCGTGTGCGTGTGCGTGTGCGTGTGCGTGTGCGTGTGCGTGTGCGTGTGTGTGTGTGTGAGTGATTTAAACCTAATCCGGTACGATAAGTAGTTTTTCAGTCGATTCATAGTCGAGAGTGAATAGCCAGTTTGTAATAACTTTCTTACATTTAAAAGTCGTAATTCTGTATATTAACCTACTTATATGCGTAACCAAAAATATATTCTACTTTATTATATTTCAATAATACTTACCTAATTTATAGCAAATTACAAGAATCTAAGTTACGCCTGGAGGCGTATTGGTGGACCAATAACAATAACCCTTTAATGTTTCAATTAACAATATTCCTTTATTTTTTTTTGTACCAAGGAATAATGATTGTTTTCTTAGATTTGACAGAAGTTTTCTAAAAAAAGTATTGTGGCATTGCTATTTATATATTTTATCTTGTTTCACCAAAAAATGTTTGCTTTTGCGAGAAAACGTGGACTGATGTCGGAGACGTTATTGTCACTTGGGAAGACAAAAATCATGTTGTGATATTTGCAGGTTCCATCTTCAATTCACTAGTTTTTATTGAAAAATAAGTATGAAGGCCATGACTGCTACGCATTGATCAGCATTAGCGTACTTCAAAAATTTCGTTCATGTCATTACCCTCGATACCGGCAAAATTGCCCCCCAATTTGGGGTAGATAACGTTGCCATAGGAACAAAAAAGTCCCATTATTACTCAAGATTTTCGAATTTTACCTGCGTTTTTTATTTCCGTTTTTAATGGATATTTACGAATTGTTTTTTGTAATTTAAGATATGCATTGCTTCCACGAGTTTTACAATAAATATTATGGAGCAGTTTCAGAGGCATATTTTTTGCTGCAAAATATAATTCAATGGACGAGATTTATCTTTAGGTAAGCTACACGCCTGTCCTTAACAGTTACAGTGCCACTCAGAGCTTTAAATTGCAAAGATCTGAGGGGTACTACCGCTGCGCCCGTCACCTGAGACATAAGTTGACAAGTCCTATGTGCCTGTAATTTCACCAGCACCCTTTAAAACCGGAACATAGTAATGCTAACACAACTCTTTCACAAGGAGCTCTACTACTACTATAATAATGTTTTTAATAAAAATTATTACCAACTTTGTTTCAATTTTCAATACCACAAGCTTTTTCGTACTTTTTCCTTGTATTGTGTTTTATTTAGGTATAATATTATTAGGCACGTGACCATTGCATAACACAGGCTACGCTTACATGTGTACGTCTGTTGATCAGTTGACCTGTTGTGTGGTTCATGTTACGAAAAACACCATCTCATTTTGACGACCTTTGGGGCCCGAATGTGGACGCTTTAGGAGGAAGCCCAGGTGCGATTCCCGGTAGGACCAATTTGCCAAATGAACTTTCTATATTGGTTCTGGTCCAGATGTTCTGGATAGTCTACTGTACTAGTACTCATTGTACAGGTAAATCCATAGTATGAGATCAGGTGATTGGTGTGGTTCTCTATTAGCAAATAACATTACAATATTACATCTTTCATGTACGCTGTAGTAGATAAATCCAGAAAATAGCCAACAACGTCTCGCTATGAACCTATTACTAAATTTTTTATACATTCGCCGTTATGAACGAAATAATAAAAATTTATGTTGCCACAGACAAACAAGATGAAGTTTCCCGACTGTTTAGAAATAAAATGCGTGGAAATAACGGAATGTTATGGTTTGCTTTTAAAACTTTACCGTATAAAAACCCAGAACAGTACTATGTATTAACGAAGAAAGGTGTAAAAAAATCTGCGTTGTTCGAGATCTCAAGGTGAGGAATTTTGTAAAAGTTTTGTTTGAAAGTGATATACAGAAAAAACAAAAAAAAGACGGTATTGACGTAAAATATGTATAAAATAACTTTATGAAGTAACGATGATAAAAGTTTCAGTAGCAGGAGAGAGCTCCTTGTGAAAGAGTTCGCCCGTACCTCGTTTATAACGTTCCGGTTCTCTAAAGTTGGGTGCTGGTGAAACTACAAACACATCAGCAGCCGTAGCATGGCGTTATATCGCATGCGGTATTTGATAAAATTTATTTCTCCCTCCTCTTGATATATTTATCGCAGTTGATAGGTTTAGCAACCCCAGAACATATCATCGCAGTTGATGAAGCTTTATTTATTGCGCAGATTTATACATTTTGAAGAACAAGGATAACGATATGAAATTGCGTATAAATAGCTATATTTATCGTTTAATCATCGTTGCGAAGATTGTAATCCTCTAAATTGTAAGTTGTAAAATGACGGACCAAAAAATGGTGGGTTTTTGTAGTTACAGTTTTTACATAAATTACATTTTTATTTTTAAGTGTTATTACGTTGTGAGTTTCTTAATTAAATAATTATTTGTTACATGTTTAAGGTGATAGCTTTATACCCAATGCTCAATAAATAAATAATAAGAAACGACGGAAAACTTTCTTAATTTGTAAAAGTCACATACAAAGTCTTTGTGAAAAATGTTGGAAAAAACCTTCTCGTCTTATTTTATAATTTTTTTGTTATTTTTTATCTTCGTGATATTTTCGCTGAAACATAATATAGAACACCTACTGAGACATTTTGCATTACATTACTTATTATTTACGTATTTTGAAATACTCTCACTTACAGAAATGTATAAAAAAATATCCTCCTCACCCTTTTCCAATAATTATATATATCAACCTGTTTCTTTTCAAATTTCGACAGAATTATTACTCATTACTATTACGCACACACTCATAGCCCCGCACTAGAAAAACCTGTGTCGCGGGTGCCGCGGACACACGCAGAAAATCTCACGAGATAAAGAAATGTTGGTAGGCCATACAAATATTTCCCGGCCCGAGAATTGGCCACGGAAGCAGTTAAAAGTTAAAGTTAAATGAAAGACATTTCTGGCTTAGGCTTCGGTCATACGGCATTGTACTGCACGTTTTTTTGCAGTATAAATCTTATCGAATAAACAGTGGAACATACATTGTATAATGTATGTTCCACTTTCACACGGTGTTTGTACTGCAAGCAAACCGAATTAACTTTAACGAATAGCAGTAGCGTAGAGTATTTATTTACACCATTTCTTTCAGATGTCACGATGACAACCGAACCGAATTGAACCGTATTTATTTATTTTTGGTAAACATTTTCCAAACGTTTTAACAAATTACCAAAACTATTTATGGACATCCCAAGGTAATTAAAAACGTTTTACATCATTTCCAAGATTTTCGTACAATATTTCAAAAATGCGTTTGTACGTATGGGTAAATAATAAATAATAAATAAATAAATAAATAACGCACACACTCAACATAGCCCCGCACTAGGGAAACCCTGTGTCACGGGTGCCATGGACACACACATTGACAACTACAAATTACACCCAAACTCACGAGAGAAATAAATGTAAGCCATACAAACATTTCTCCCGGCCCGGGAATCGAATCTGGAACCTCTGCGTGGCAGTCTGGCATGGTAACCGTTCGGCCACGGAGGCAGGAGGTGAACCCAACTGCGATACATTCTGTTAAACTATAGATATAGGAAATGTGTTACACCTGGGGCTAAACCGTTGACATTTTCTATACGAGTACAAAAGTGCAACAAAGCGTGGATCCATCTTATTCGTGTACTCAGGGTGATTGCTACAGATGAATACTGCGGCTATTTCTTATTTAGACAAATGAACATTTATAGTTGAATACTCGCTGTTTATCCGTTTGAAATCGATTAAGTTGTACTGCAAAAAACATGCAGCACAATGTCATGTGAACGAAGCCGTAGGATACCGGTGGATTTTTTTTATAATATCAAGTGACGGGACGAACTAGTCGTGCGCCTGATGGTAAGCTTTAAATCGCAAAGATCTGAGGGGCATTGCCACTGCGCCCGTCACCCTGAGAAATAAGTTGACAAGTCCCATGTGTTTGTAATTTCACCAGCACCCTTACCCTTCAAAACCGGAACATAAATTATTATGTTCCAGTTTGCTTGGGGGCAGTAATAACTAAGATGGCAGTACTTCCCTAGACGAACACTTTCACAAGGAGCTCTACCGCTATCTACTCACAAATTAAACGACGCCTATACCCACATTATATGTATACCCAGCATGCCACTACAATATTTTTATTATTGCTTAAATGGGATGCAATTTTCAGGAAATTCAATGATTTTGTGCATAGGTTGTATATGTTTACTGCGAATTGGTATATAATGTGTCTAGGTCATAAAATAATAATAAATATTAAAACATCGTTTATGTTATGGGAGAGGCAAGGATATGGGAAACATCCGAAATAATAGTAATGATTACTTATATTGTTAATATTATTGCTGTTAATAATTGTAATTGTTTGTACGTAAATTAAGAATACTGATTGGAAAAGTAGTGTTTCCCAAGATAATTTGAATTAGAGTCAAAATGTCTATGTACCTGTGTGTTGTCTAATAAATAGTTTGATAAAGGAATGATCCATACACCATATCACATTGAACTTGCACCTGTATCGTTGCCAAAATATTCACGGGGACATGTGACACATAGAATTTATTGCTTTCTGGAATCTGCTGGGAAACCCAATAACTATTTCAGTGATTTATTTGTCTAAAAATTAATATTCTTTGTGCAAAATAACGATGTTTTCAGCGTATTATTGTCATATAGATTGTAAGGCTTTCGTGGTTATTCACTAATTACAGGTTTCTTACCACGATGCGATTTCTATTAATTTTACCGATATTTCAGAACGGTTACACGCTCCATGGTCACGGGTTGACTGGCCAGCGGCAGATGACAGCTTTAAGAACAGACATATCTCTCTACCCTCTTTCGCTGTCGACGACTACCCTCATCTCCACTACTTGTGGCGTTACCATTGTCACTCACTTTTTTCCGACAAAGCACACTCACTGTATCCGCACGCGAAACTGAAGTCAAACTATTTTTGTTTTTATTATTGAGAGCACTAAGAACTGGATTCCACGCATTTGATAGTTTAACCATCTTCACGGTTAAACGTTTGGTACCTTGTGATCTCGATGGTTTCACGTACCAAACATGGTATGTAATGACGTTCCGTCGACAGTCCTGGGAGGCTGACTTCTGTGCACAGAGCAATGATACTAGTTGAAGTGGTTAGTTAGCCTCACACGTGTGACTACTATATGGACACTTGTCCATACTTAGGCTCTGTCTGCCATTTTGGCTTTGTACGCTATGGTTGTGTCATTTCTTCGTGCAAATGCTCTAAAAATCCTAGAAAAATGTCTTATTGTGCTGTTTTGGTGTGTTCTAGCCGTACCAAACATATTACCCGTGGTGATATTTCATATAATTGGTAAGTCTTATTTTTAAAAATTTTCAATTTTCTGTATATCAAAATAACTTTTTACCGACTTGAAAAAAGGAGGAGGTTGTCAATCCAACCATCACATTCAGAATTCCATGTAGGCAGAGAATTATTAAGCCCTGGATTACAACAGGCTTACTAAGATGCATACGTAATCGTGACAGTATGCATAAAAAAGTCCAGAATGATTACGTCTAAAATCAAAATGTATGCAGACGATTTAAAAATATACCGATCAATCACCAGTTCAAATGACATATGTGCTCTTCAGGCAGATGTGGATAACATAAATGATTGGTGTAATAAAAATGGCATGAAACTTAATTTAAGTAAATGTTTTCATATTAAATTTAGTAGGAAGTCCTATCCTATCACAGCTACTTACTTTATTCAGGGCAAGCCTCTGACAGAGGTCACTCAGATTCGCGACCTGGGTTTGACTATGGACAGTACTCTTAGTTTTAGACATCATATAGATTCGATCATTACAAAAACGTCTAGATTGTCTGGTTTTATTATTCGACAAATGAAAATACTGAAGGATCCACAACTCACCGTAATCATTTACAACTCCTTAATACGGAGTATTCTTGAATATTGTAGTCCAGTATGGAATCCAGGTTACCAGGTCTATTCTAATAGATTGGAGCTTGTGCAGAAGCGATTCTTGTACCATTTGACACTCTTTGATACTCTGATAACATGTGTAAACGTCTTCTCTCCTATCAGTCGCGTGTCGCTCATTACGGTCTTTCTTTATTATATGTGCGCAGAAAAATTTCAGATATCATGTTTTTATATAAATTAATCCATGGTCACATTGATTCACCAGATATTTTGGAGCGTGTCAAGTTTTCTCTCCCTCGGCAAGGTAGCCGATTACAAAATCGGAAAACCTTTGCTTTGCCTGCATGCAAGACAAGGCTCGGTCATCATTCTCCTTTGTATAGAATGTGTAGCGACTACAACTACATTCGAAATGATTTCGATATTTTCAGTGGTTCTTTCTCCTCAGCTAAACGATGTGTACGTAACATTTATTCAAAAATCTAATTTAATTTATCATGTTTCTTTATTAGTTTGAGTAACTTTAACTTTAACTTTTTCTTAATAACCTTAAGTAACTTTTAATCTTTTTATTTTAGTTATAAACAGGAATTGGGCTAGCCGAGTCCAAATTAGTTCGTAAGAAGTAGTACATGAAAATGATATGCATGTTGTGCTTACATCTAGTAGGTTTCATTGTACTCGTGTAGTAATTAAGCATGTTTCTATTTAAGACTGAAAGCATTGTAACCAGTTTTGTAAGCCAAATAAAAAAAGAAAAAAAAAAAAAGTCAATTCTGATCCGAATAACGTGATTTTAGCTATTACCTACAAGCGCTATCGTAATTTTTGCAATGATCTGTTTAAAAAACTTAAGCGGGAATATGAAAGATCTGAATTTGATAAAGCAAAGCATAGTCCCAAAAGAACCTGGGAAGTAATAAAAAGGCTTACCCAATCCGATAAACAAATTCTCCCACCAATTGAGCTCTTAAAAACGTGTAACGATTCTACGGAATCCGCGAATGCCGTCAACAGTTATTTTGCAAATATTGGGAAAGAGTTGGCTAAAAAAATAATTAAACCTGTGGTTGATAACCGTACATCTATTAACTTTAATATATCGCCTTTGAACTCAATGGTCTTGCTAGAGATGACGGACGATGAGGTTAGAGATATAATTAGAAGTCTCCGTAACTGTGCGGTCGGCTGGGACGGGATACCAACCAAACTTTTAAAATCTGCTTGCTCTACTTTAGCGCCGATAATAACATACATTTGCAATCTGGCAATAACTACAGGCGCATTTCCTAACGCCCTTAAAAAAGCTGTAGTACACCCTATATATAAAAGTGGAGACAGAGACAATGTCGATAATTTCAGACTTATCTCGGTGTTACCGGCCCTTTCTAAAATTATAGAGAAAATTTTGAACCGTAATCTGGTTAGCTTCCTAGAGACCAACAACATCATCTCCAATAAGCAATTTGGCTTTAGAAGGGGTCGATGCACCGAGGAGGCCATAGGTTCTCTAGTAGAACATGCTGTCAAGGAAATAGATGAAAAGTAAAAATGCCTTGGCATTTTCTTGGACCTCTCAAAGGCGTTTGACACCGTCTCTGTCCCACTACTACTAAATAAACTAGAAGCTGTGGGTGTTAGGGGGAAAGTTCACAGTATATTTGCCGATTATTTGTCAAATCGAACTCAATGTACTAAAATCGGCACCTACATAAGCCAGCAAGAAACTATAAATTACGGAGTGCCGCAAGGGAGTATTCTCGGTCCTACGTTGTTCCAGGTTTACCTTAACGAATTGTGCAGTTTGACTATTCCACAATGTCGTATCTTTGCTTACGCTGATGATACGGCATTAATCGTCTCTGGGAGTCGCTGGGCCGACACGGTTGCTTCTGCAGAATCTGCATTCAGGTTGGTTATGGAATGGCTTAATAATAACCTGCTTACACTGAACGTAGAGAAATCGCAATTCATTACACTGGCTACAAGATGCTCTGCCCATCCCGCTAAAGGCTCTATTGAAATCCGTGCTCATACCTGCACCAGGGAGTCGTCTGTTTGTAACTGCCCCTCCCTGACTAGAACCAATTGCATTAAGTATCTGGGTGTCTTTTTGGATGAGAGCTTCAATTGGTATGATCAAGTGCAATCTGTAGCTGGCAGAATACGTAGGCTTATCTTCGTTTTTAAAAAATTACGTAATTCAGCGGACCGAAAAATTTTAGATACTGTATACACGGCTCTATGTACTCCTCTCCTATCTTACTGTATTCCAATTTGGGGAGGTACCTATAAAACGTCATTTATAAATTTAGAGCGAGCGCAAAGGGCGGTGCTCAAGGTGATGCTCTGGAAACCGTACAGATATCCCACATCAAAACTTTATGTGGACGCTAATGTACTCACTGTAAGAAAGACATTTATCCTTCGATCCTGTTTACGTCAACATTCGTCTCTCCCATTGAGAGCTGATTTCCCACCCACCAGACGACTTACACCAGTTTGTCCTGCAGTACACTGCCGTACTATCTTTGCCAAGAGACAGTTTCCTTCATTGAGTGCTAGACTTTACAACAACCTAAATAATACTCTACAATTTCATAGAGTCAATAAATTTGAGTGTAAAAATAAAATAAGTACTTGGCTATTAGCACTTGAATATGATGAAATAGCTCGTTTTACGTCAATCGTATCCAATTGTAACTCTAGACAGGTAACACTCTTGTCCGCTCCAAATCTCATTATCACTCACGAAGAAACGCACAAACGCTCACACAAACACGCATCCACACACACAAACACGCACACATACACACACTCACTCGCACATGCACATACGCACACCCACACGCACACACACACCCACACGCGCGCGCGCGCACACACACACACACACACACACACACACACACACACACACACACAC